ATTTACTATGTTAGTATGTGGTCATACTCTCCATCATGACTGTCTTGAAAAAAGTAACAGAGATAAGCAAAAAACTTGCCCCATTTGTTTCGTAGATAATGAAGGAATGGCATCAGCTGAAGTTCAGAATGTAGATATTTTAGAGGCAGTGGAAGATGAAGGTGAAGAAACTTCTAATCCAATGGGGGTGGTAAGTAAGTTATCTGTAGATGGTGGTAAAGCTATCCCATGAAGTAAAACAAAATCCATGGAACCTGATAAAGTACAAGGTTTAATAAAAGAACTATTTATGCCAAGTGAGCCGATTGATAATAACAATAGAGGAAATAAGAGCAAAGAATCAAAACCAATAACTTTACTCTAGTTATACTATAATGCAAACTGGGCAGAAAAACATGTAACCTGTGCCTATCAAGAAAAAATAAGATGCTAGTATCTGTTTGCTAAAAAATTTGAAGAAAGAGTTAAAGAAATAAAAAATGATAACAGTAGGTATAATGATCAACAAGCTAGAGGGTTAGTATATGGCGAAGTCGCAACCAATCTTCCGGGATTTACAAGAGATAGTTTGCATAAAAAAACTGCAAAGGCTAGAAATATCTACAAGTTGTTTGGAGAAAGTTATGACCCCGATACCAAAAAAATAGTTAAGGGGATAGGAATTGAAAAAATTGAGAGAATTCGAACATATAGTGCTGATTATATTTCAAAGCTCAATTCTACACAAATTTATAATATTATAAAGCATTTTAATTAGCACAGATCGCGTCCCCCAAGTTGATGTCAACATGATATAAATATTTTTTTATTAGTAAATCATATATATGTAATAACGATAAAGTTTATATGTATATACCAATAAAATTGACAAAAATGCTTGTTAAATATAGGCATTTAACATGTACGGATCTCAACCTAAGGTTTATGCAGGTGAGACAGGGTACAAATACAAGTGTCACACATTACGGGTTTGTATAATAAAAAAATTTAGCCACGTATATATTATTTTTTAATATATGTATAATAATGAAAATTTCTAATATACATTCACGTAAAAACAAACAAAACTATATCGAAAAGTGGCATATATTTAGAGGCTGGAAATACGGATGTAAGGTCTGTGACGAATGCAATCACTATTCACATCTGTATTGTAAAACATGCAAAATGGTAGTGGATAGAATATATAAGCGATGTGAATGTGATAATTTTCTAGCTTCAAAAAAATCTATTATACCCTTAAATAATTAAACAAAAATTACCGTTTATCAGAATTAATAATCTGTAATCTTATTGTATCATCAATGACACATCTCTTCAGAGATAAATAGTTTTTAATTTTTTGTTTTTCCACAGGCATCAACAAATTCGAATAAAAATTTATTAAAATTTCTACTTAACTTCTTTAAAAAAATAAAATCAGTATTGTCTATTTATCATATAACAATACGTAACCTCTGTTGTACGACAATCTTATTGTTTGTATAAACTATAAAAAAGTAGAATGTACAACTATTTCTTACCAAAAAAATTCTTTCATCCTATCTTAAAAATTAAATTAGAAATATGTCTACTTCTACCAGAAAAACAATTTCACTTCCTGCAATCGATGAAGTTAAAAGTTATAAAAAAAATGGAAAAACAAAAAATTACAGGTCGGCGTTTTCTTATGTTAAATGTGGATAAACTAATGCAAGATGGTTTACAACAAGGACCAGCCGAAGAAATTGCAGAGTTTATTAATAAAATTAAGGGCGAAGGACAGGGTAAGTAGTATCACGACTGCATTCGAAGACACAAAGTGTCGAGTCTCTGACTCATATTCCAAACCGATACTGCTTTCTCCACAATAATTTTATTTATTAACTTGGGCCTCGCTAATACTAGAATTTAAGAAAAAAAGAAAGGCAGAAGAAGAACATAAGATTATACGGAGTTGTTTTGTTTTGTGTTGTACTTATTTTCACTAATATTTTGTTTGATTGGCTGTGATTACAGTACCGAAAAAAAGAAAATGGATGGTAAATAGTGCCATTACGCGAGAAGAGCGCTCTATTGTCTATTTCGTGGATCCGACAGAGCAGAGTGCTCCACTTCTTGAATCGATAAATCGAGGCGAATTTATAGCGTTACATAGACTACAAGCCTTTGGAAAGTCCACATGAATACTCCAACTTCAGGACCAGTTAAATAGCAAAGGCTTTGTTTGCATCTAGTATGTTAGCTCTCGCTTAATAGTTGTTTGCTAAATTATCACAGAATGTAATCAGCCTTCATTTTCTCAACTTTCTATTATGTTATCATTTCCCTGTATAGCGTATCTTTTGAACATGTTAACATGAAGAATGTAGAAATTTTCTGGCAAACGCTCGGCACGACACTTCAACGTAATACACCAGAACATTTTGGTCCTTTAAAAAGCCTACAAATCAAATCCGCAGACAATTTTCTTAACACTTTTCATAGAACCTAATGGAAGTTTTTAGATACTGTTATCCTGTTTGATGAGTTTGATATGTTGTACAATGCAACAGAAGATGTTCTTATCTTGTGTTTGACAACTCTTCATGGCATCAAAGCCAGCAAACAAGACTATGCTATATGCTCTGTCATTGCCATCGGACCCTTCAGTATTATGCATTTAAACTCGAATAATTTGATCATGTCACCATTCAATATTAACGAACCATTTCAGAACCCGAACTTTTCTTTGGAGCAAGTACAATTCATATACAAAGAATTTGCAGATGAATATGAGTTGACTATTGACCAAGAAGTTGTCGAAGATATATACATACAAACAAACGGGTATGTGGCTAGTGCTATGTAATTTTACTTCCTTACTGAGTCTTAATTTCTTGCTACAATTTCTTTATAACAGGCATGCTGGTCTTATCTGCCTTTGCGGATGTGCGATCTATAGAAAGTTATTCTCAGAGCTAGAAATGGGAATGCACTTGAGCTATGACAAATGGCAACATTTCACCTCCTCCTTATTAGTAAATGAGATTTTAGAGTACCCAACGTTTATAAGGATGAAAGACACTCTCCTGAGAGATGATACTAATATAAAACAAGCTGTAAAGCTCCTCTGGACTGATTTTTTAGCGAATTTTGACCCTGTAAATGTTGGGATGCAAAATGATCTAGTCCGGTTTCTCAAAGCAGAAGGAGTTCTGATCCCCGGAGAAAATGCTGGAACATATGGTTTCCTCGCCCTTGGTGCGCTCGCTAATCTATTAGCAAATAGTCCCTAAAGTATTTCTGACTTCTTCTAAAGTAGAAGTTCTCTATCATCCTTCAACGGGTACCTTAGACATACTTAAGGCCTTGAAACAAGTTGTCTGCATATTTGACAGAGAGATTATGAAGTTCCGCAATTCTTTCAAGACAGCACATGTGCTAGTCAATAATGTTGATAAACTAGAAGTCCCTAGAAAGTCAGTTTATAATGCGGAATTGTATCGGATAATGTCGAATTGGCTTGTTGAATTCACGGTAACTGGACAATGGCACCTAAAATATCGTACTAGTGGACATATCAATCATAAATATGTTAACATAATTATCTCACGACCTAATAAAACAATTGCCCTTGAGCTTTTAGCTACAGCAACAAAAAAAGAGCTCAAAGAACATTACGAATGGGCACTCATATATGATAAGAAATTACCTGCAGATGAAACATGGATTGTCCATTTCACCTGTGAAGAAAACGCCATTTTGGAACCATGCTGGTCAACCAAGTCTCAACTGCAAAAGGGTCTTCAAGTCGTATACTTTTGGCATGATCTTAACTTTACGAAAATTAGTATAATTGCATGTTGGTGGGATACAAATAATAATACGAAGCATGTTACTAATGTTAAGGAAATAATGGTGCGTCTCATTGTAAATATTTCTTTGATTGATCACTTTGCATTTCATATTACTAACGACCTTTGCTTAATTATAAGTTACACAATAGTTATAATATAGAAATTAGGAACAATATCAGAATGAGAATAAATTAGGTGTATTTATTTTTCATCCCTAAATTAGATAGCAAAATCAAATTAATCCCCATTCTACAAAGAAATGTAGTACGCATTTGTAATTATAAAGCAATAATAAAGCTGGTCCTAGTGGCCGATTTGCATACATAATCGCGTTTACTTTTGCATGTGTATTTCGTGAATTTATTTTATTGTATTGTTATCGATGTATATGATCAGATTTTTTATATAACTCTGATCGTGAATATTGTTCACAGATTTTTTATATGAACTTTATATATACTATATATAACAGTATGCGTGGAATTTCATTGTTCATAGTTTTGTCATGTTTTTTTTAACTCAATAATTTAAATAAATCGCGTCTTATATAAAAATTATTATCAAATCATGCAATCTGAACTAGATTTATTAAGACAGAAAAATGCAAAACTCTTAGCCAAGAATGCTCAACTGAGACAAATTATAGAGGAAAAAGATTCACATGCAAAATTAAGAGATGCAGAGCTTAATACTAGAATTGCAGAATTAGAACGATCTGCAAAGGAACATGCTGAGAGTGCGAGACAAAGCCAGACAAAAAATGCTAAGCTTAAGGGCAGAGTTGCAAATTTAGAACAAGAATTCAAGAAGCAGGATTTACAATTCTTGACGGAAGAATGCAAATCTACCTTTCAAATCGAAAACCATAATTCAGATATCACTTCACAAAAGAATACTAACATTTCTCAATCACCTGTTTCAATTATTGAAACCCACCCCGATGAATAAAACAGCACAGGCTCTATAGATCCAAAACAGGTACAAAGTGCTGTTTCTTCTGAATTAGGTCTCGACAATACCTCTAAACAGGTAATAAATACAACTTTTATTATGTCTAACCTCAGAGAAATTAAGCAAAGCTCAGAATCTCAGATTCCTGACTCAGTCAAACTAAAATCATTAGAAGAAAAGAGATCGATGAATTCATAGATTTGGAAAATAAGAAGAGAGTTAGTAATATAATGAGACAGAGGAACAGAGAGACGTTCCAAGATCAAAACACAACTTTGGACAATATTTCTTCAGTAGAGCCAATTTTGTCCAAACCACTATATAATATAAAAACCGTGAACAATGTTCATGATCGAGAAAAAATTATACCAGAGTCTGTGCAAAATGTGACAGAAAAATATATTAAGGATTCAAGTTTAGTGACCGAAATTGTGCAAGGTTTGTTACAAGAATTTTTAGTAAATTCTATAAAAGATAATATCGAATTTATTAACAGCAAATCCTCAGATTCTCCACCTGGTGCAGTCAAGCTTGCTCATTTGTTGTATCAAGCATGTAAAGCGACAAAAAAATCTATTAAAATTAAACGGGAAGAAATTTCATCCTTTCTGAAAAATTTGAAGATAAGGTTATAGAACTTAGATTCAAAGACAAAAATCTTAAGGATAAAACTGCAAGAGCTCAAATTTATAATGAAATGAGACTATATCTTACAGGCATTACTGATGAGTATTTACGCAAGATAACAAGCAAAGCAAGAAAAATTAATAAGTTGTTTGGATATGATTATGATCCTGTGACTTTAAAAAAGAATAAAGATATAGGGTGGCACATAGTTAATTGTATTACCTACAGTGCTGATACTATTTCAAGACTTACTAATCTTCAAATCCAGTATATTATAGATTAAGTAGGTGTGACAGTATCGAAAACCGTGAATACCGTTCACGATCAGACAAAAACTGAGGTGAGTACTCAAGCTAAAGTAAATGTGTTAACCAAGTCTCAAGTCTCTGAATCAGAAGGAATAGAATGCGGGGTATCAGAAATCAAGGTAGATACATCACCCGAATCACACTAAACTGTACCTTTTCAATATCAAAATATTATTGACACTCTATATGCACCAGCCAAATCTCAACTCGAAGAGAAGGTTCTATTAGAAACTCAGGTTAACCCATTACCCACATTACAAATAGGCACCACACCTATATCTATATCCAAGTCAATTATGACTATGCAAGTTTTCATAGAAAAGTATTAGATCAATATTCCGATATATATTATAAATATAATGATTATTATGGAATTACTGACGAATCTTTATGCCTGCTATGCAAGTTAGATCATGAGGATGAGGAAGGTATAAAAGGCAGATATGAAGATGGATCCTATTATATTAAATGTGAACAGCGTGGAATTGAAATTGAGGTGACAGCATGAACCCGCCTTCTCATAATTGCATCTTTCGAAGCCAGAAAAATAGATAGCAGGAATATATCATTAATATGTGTCGGTATCCATTTTTCTTATCACATCATTTATCTTTTTTTGAACTAGAGAGGAAAAAGAGGTGTCTCTCTGAGGCATGTTTATTTTTTGTTGGTTATTGTTAATGGATTGGATTTACCCTTTTGTACTAAAAATAGTACATTTTATAAAATTCGTAGAGACACCAAAACTTAT